CTGCCGCAGGTAGATACACGTCAGGAAGCGTGCTCTAAGTTTTCAAACACGTCTCCGGGGAGCAGCAATCAGTGGCCTTCTGCACCAGGAATCCTCTCCCAGGGGCATCCGTCTCAGGCTGTCACAGGTTGGTGGCAGTCACGTGACCTCGCGGTGTTTCACCAGGTAATGAATCCCTGGGGAGCAGCGTGGCCCGGCTGGAGTTAGCTCCCCCGAGCGCTGGAATGTATTGATTGGATGCAGTGCTACTCTAACCAATCTATCACAGCAAATGAATGGTTTTAGTGAGATGTGAAGCCACAGCAGAGCAGAGACCAGGCAGCAATCAACAACAGGCAGCATTTTCCCCCTGATGAAATGAGCAATCGGGGCAGTTAGGGTTTGATGTTGACGCTGTGGGGGGCTGAGTGCAGTGGAAATGGGTGGGGGGGCATGGTCAGCTGATTTCTACTTTGGAACGCATACGTATGCATGTTGTCTATGGTAACACCAAAGGACTAATATACAACTGCCCCCCCGTCCCCCCGCCCCCACCCTGGACAATGTGTTAGAAACAAATTTATATGGGACACTAGGGGCATCACTGCCCAGGACTCAGCAGTTTCACAGATGTGTTAATGTTTATGACACACTCCTTAATTGCCTTTCCCAGAATGCAGTTTGACGGTTGTATGGATGGGCTATAAACAAGGGGAAATTGTGGTGCAGTTCCAGAAATGACCATACAGTCCAGTGGAAATGATTGTTGATGATCCAGTAATGACACTGTGTTTGTTATTCTAAACTGTACACACAGACACAGCATCTTCAGAGATTTAATATAAAGCCACCAGGACATACAGTCCTAGGGCAGTACCTCTACTGGCCAGCAGGGAAAGAACTAACATGAAAATCTGGTTTTATTGTATAGAAGTGCATATTCAAACAATCCTTTATACACTCTCCTAGCTTATGATGTTGAATATGTGCATTTTCTGCTCCTGTTCATCCATTTGCTAAAATATAATACATATATGTTAATACCTATTAAATATACTTGGATTGTGTGGAAAAAGGTTTGGGGAAAAATATACGATTGAAAAAAAAAAAACCTGCAGTACCTCTGTGGGCCTCCGGGGTCCATGAACCCACTATGGAAGATCTCTTGTATAAGGCATCATTAGCAAGACCTACCACTGTTTTTCATTTTTAGTTTTTTATAGAACAGCTGTCAATGCTAACTACTGCTAACTATCAAATATTTAATGAAGGCAGCTGTTCAAAGCACAAACTCCAGACTTCAAACACTTTAGTGAGGGTTGATGCTTCAGTCTTTATGTTAAAAAAAGTCTTGATGTCAAAACATACATTTATAGTTTTAATTTTAAATTTAAATATTAATGTTAATTCTCAGTTCCATATCCCCTGATAATGGCACAACAAAGAGAATAAAACCATCAGATATTTACACTAAAACAACTTCATATTAAGTTTGGACGATGGATCCAAATTTATTTAAGAAGATTTTCATTTTTGTTTTAGTATCTTACTGATACACCTGCCTGTACTTGTTGGTGCCAGAAGGACACATTTTCTGTGGGTTATGTTTGCAGTCGCTGCCAAACTGATTTTCCGCACCTGTGGCTAACAACGACCAGGAGCCAGAACTGTTTATTACTTCATTAGTCTGTACGTATGTTCCAAACTATGGTTATGGTGAAATTTGGGATTTTAAAAATAAAGAGCTTGGTGGTATTCCAGTGGATTTCATTAGGACCCTCTCTCTCTCCACCAGCTCTTTTGATGTTTCCTTTTCTTCAGAGCTCTGGCCAAAAAAAAAAAAAAAAAAAAACCCTCCACAAAACAGAAATCATTCTCATTTCATTGCCTTCACTCGTGTGCAGAGAGAAACTGTCTGAAAAAATGCCACCAAATCATCATTTTGGTTTCTGATAAGAGCTGCAGACCTTTGTCAGAGGAGTCGGTGTTATCAGCACGCTGCTGCTCCTCTTCTTTTCTCTGCATTTACATTTACAAACCACTCCAAAAACCCTGAACATGGATTTGTTCTGCCAGGAACCAGAAATCCATTGATTGTGATTCTACGTGCCAAGACATTAAGGGTTTTAGTGAGTGTTTTGTTTGTGTGTAAATTTTCCCAGCATTCATTACTAAAACTGTGCATCACAGAGGACCCACAGAGCCCAGGCCCCAGCTCCCCTGGAGTCATTGTGCACAGGATCCCTGAGACGGTCTGGAGAACTGAGATATACTGTGGAGTAGACACATCCTACAGCCACCAAGGACGCACATTTACTACTCTGCCCATATTTAAAGTACGATCCTAGAAGAATCCTTTAATATTCATTAGCAGACGTTAAATATTAACAAATGGAGATGTTCTTAATGTCACGTAAAAAGACGGAAGATCCCTTTAAAGGACCAGGCAGGTGCCTACCAGACGGACTGGACTGCGTTTACTGTTTGATTCAGCAGATGCAGGAGCAGAGGTCAGTGGAGTCTGATGATCCACCTCATCTCAGGCTTGGAGCAGAGCCTGGACGCACAATAAACAGATGTTCTGTGGCTCTGCTCAGTCACTGACCTGCAGTTCCATCCAACCACAGCCAGGACGGAGAACAGCGTTTTCATGACACCGACATGGCCCTGTTTTCAAAAGTGGAAACGTGCCTGTGCTCCTTCAGTTGGTCAGGAAGCTTGCCGCAGTATCAGCACAGGGTTATGAGGACGCCTGTGGGGCTGAACGCCACTGCAGCTCCATGTGCACCGAGGTCTCACAGCTTTTAGGTTTACCAAATCAATTACAGTCCTGCACATCCTGCACATCTAAATCCACACACTGCCAGGTCCCTTTTTTAACCACAGGACTCCGGACACATTCACTGATAAAGTGGGGGACCATAGCAACACACACGGCTGTGTATTTCATGCCTTCACCTTTTGTGCTGTCCAGGTTTGTTTTGTTTTTTTTAAAACAAACTATGAAGCAGTCGTCGAAAGGTCAGATATGAGGCGCTGTAGCAATCAAAGAGAGGAGCTGAGCAGGGATGCAATCTTTATATCTGAACTCCCAGTGTTTCAAGGTTGACTGAAAGAATGACTTTTTCCTTTCTATTAAAAAAAAAGAAAAAGCTGTGACGCTCTGAACTTTGATTGGAGTGATTTTAATGACTGATAAGGAAACTGCCGCTCTACAGAGCGTGAAGTCGTCAGGTTTAAAATGTTGTGGAAGAAAGGACAGAAGTGAGAAAAATAAAAAAAAGTACGAAGCAGCGAGGAGTCGCACCAAGGCACGCGATAAAATTCACACGATCCCAGACTCATTTGCCAACCGTCCTCACAGTCTTACTACACACACCTGCTCTAATGCCTGTTTTACATGCAGTTGACCTATAGAATGAGAGGATTAATGCTGCTCTGCCACGAGCCCCGTTCTCCAATACTGCACCATTCTTCCAACCTGTCTGACATAAAGGTTAACAGCCTTGTTATGTAATGAGACTAATTGATAAATATCCAAACTGGACTGAAACGGTTGCAAACAAGGCAACAGCCAATGATGTGAGGAGGTAAAAGAAAAACAAAGATTTCAGATTTCAGAAGAGAAGAGGAACCGCAGCAGAAGAAGAAGCGTTTTTTTCAAAGATGAATGTCTCGCCCGTGGCTTAATAAATCTGGTTATTCTACAGAATCATTTCCATGTGGGAACACCATCATTTACATTCATATACAGCAGCACATGTGTAGCCAGGAGGTAAAGAGCTAAACACTGCAAAATGACTCTCTGCTGGAGATGCCATGGAAACACAAATAAGATCGTCCTCAACGGGGAACTTTCATTAAAGCTGCATCCACTGTACATGTCATCACATATTTATGCTGTGGTGGTGCTGCCCCACCCTGGCCGTGGTAACAGTGGATTCCGTAGGAGGGCTGTTTGTACCTCTCCTTGCAGAGATAGTTGTGATCCTCCTGGTGGTTTTATCAAAGAAGTGTCATTTACAGCAGGTAACATAAATGCACACTTCACATCACACAGCCTCGGGGGAAACCTCACATCCAGGCACGACACAAACTGTACAGGGGTCGATACCAGTGGCACGAGAGGGAGGGGAACCGGGGGGGGGGGGGGGGGGTGAGGGGGGGGGGGGGGTGTGGGGGGGGCTCCATTCTTTTCAGTCAGCTCAGTCTATATGATCCCCACCTAAAACTTTCATTTTTATTCTGTCTTGTTATGTATTCCACCTTCTGCCTCATTATAAAGTCAAGCTTCAGTTCTGACAAAGATCGAGTTCCAGAGAAAATGCTTTTATACAAAAAGAGGTCATTAAAGGGTAACAAAACCAGCACAGACACACAGCCAGGTTCTCTTCACTCACACCAACCCAGAACATTTATCTAAAAAACATATTCATCCACATTTTAACCAGAGCATCATAAATGCAGGGTGCATCACCAAGAGCTGGGTTTAGTCCCATCCAGACTGTATTACTCCCAGAATCTGCATCAATACAGATAATACGGTAACACCTGAGGTAATACCACAAACAACTGTGTTTATATGCTGAGAGAGGGAAGTAAATGGGGAAAAGCTCTGTGGATAAATCTGATTTATCCACAGAGTGATGTATCTGTCACAAAGCCAAAAATGCAAAAAGAACCGAGCGGTGATGGAGAAATATCACATCACTCTAATGCTTTGGTTTTTCATTTATAATTAGACATGGAAATCGAACCTAAGGTAAAATATACTATAAGGATTTTTATTTTATTTTTTTTAGCATCTCCTAAAAAATCAGGGGGACTTTCAAAGTTATTTAATGCCTTTAAAAGTTTGATTCTGTATTTTTATTTATTTCTCTTTTTTTTAAAAAAACAGCGCAAGGCAGAACGGGAGTTATTTTTATTTATTTCTCATTTTAAAAAAAACAAACAGCGCAAGGCAGAACGGGAGCGCACCGCTCTCCAAACCCACAGCAGCTGCACTGGAGTGGACTCACCTGCAGGACACGGTGATCTCCACTTTGGTGGCGGGGATGCTGCCACTGATGGGGTCGAGATCACAGACGGTCGCCGTGGCCTCTACTTTCTCTATAACGTCTCCTTCCATGTTGGCAGGAGATGCGGTGCCAACACCCCGACCCGCGTCAGTGCCTCTGAACCTGCACGGCCAAAGGAGGAGAGGCGGAGCGCAGCGCACAGGCGAGCAGGTACTGTCCAGGCAAACCTCCTAAGTGCTGTCCATTGGACGGACAACAGCATGGAAAGTTTATGACCGGCAGGCTGCAGCGCTGAGCAGACTGATCTGACTAATGTGAGTTCAACTGCCGGGGCGCATCAGCTGCCGCACCTCCCCGCTCCTTCCCAGGCAAAGAATGAGCTCCTCTGCCAGAGGAGCGCCTGAAAAGTAAAAGCTGGGAACTCCACCCCTCCTGCGTGCATTCTCCTGCATCCCTGGCTGCGACTGACACTCGTTACACATCCCAGCTATTGATCTACGGCCGATCGTTATTTTGGTCCAAATTGGTTCGGCGAGTGTAATTACTGGTCAAATGTGTTCGGGTTGCACTTGGAAGTCACACATATTGTTTATTTTCTCAGATAGTTGCAATTACATCAGTCCTCCCAGGGCTTTGACAACTAATCGAAGGGCGGTTTGACGAGCTTTCAGCAGCTGGACAGCTCCTCAAACTCCTACAGCCTCAGCCGCAGCTTCCTTCCTGCTTTCCTCCCCTCTAAAAATATGTCGTTTATTATTTCACCCACACCTAGTCCACTGTATATTCATCACCGCGGAGCTGCATGGGAGGCTGTGTTCACCCAGGGGAGCACGGTCCTGATTCATCAGACATCAGGGCGGCGAGATGTGCACGAAATCAAACGGCAGGAAAGAAAACTGCATCACAGGTAAACTGCTGTGACTACCATCCAAACTGCCGCGTGTCCGCGGGCTGGGAACAAGGATACAGTTAGAGACATTTTGCAAATCACGATTGAGTGAGGTTGAATATTTAGCTTGGAGTGAGGGTTAGGGTCAAGTGAATACTGTATCTGTCTATGTGAGAAGAACACAAACCAAGGTACAAAAACCAGTGTGTGCCTGTGCTCTGGTGTAGTTGTACATGTGGGGACATTTCCTTAGAAAATTGTATTGTTGTGGCTATTATTTTTAAGAACCATGATTTATTTTTCCAATATACGCTAAGGAGCTAGGAACACGTTTCTATGTGAGTTTGTGTGTGTTTTGTTGTCCCTTTGTCATTGTGACGACACACTTCTGGGTGAAATTAGACTTTGATGAAGCTGGCGTGGTTTGTGGAAGACTGTGAAAGGAAATGAAACATAGTCCTGTGGCATAGAGTAATGTTTTTAGAAGATAAATCTAATTATTTGGTTTGGTTAGTCCATAGGTCAACACGACACTACAGGCAGACTGTGCTTTTCAGCTTTTATCACGCCCAAAATGTCATTCCAAGTACTACGCAACATGAACCCGTTTGTCATAGGACGCTATGACAAACGGGTTGATGTTCATAACCTGACCAGAGTTATGTCAGGTTTATCACGACATCAGTGACGTACTGCAGGGGAAGAGCAGCAATGCTATGACTAAGAACTAAGAACTAAGAAAACAGACAGCCTACCATAGGCTTCTGTAAACACCAGACTTAGGTTGTTCCTGGTGAACATAAATCCTGAATGTATTGTTCATACATGCATTATATTTACAGTCAAGTACAGACACAAATCCCTGACAAGACTGCCTCTATAGTTTTGTTTTATAGCAGCCAGGCTCTAATTGCATCGACCCAGGACAAACAGTCCACCGTGGAGCTTCAGGTTGGACTAACTGCTGTCACTTTTTTCTGCTGACAGCACTTTGTGACCTCAGAGAACAGCAGCACTTGGTGAAAACAGACTGATTTCTCTATCTTTAAAGCAAGGGTACGAGGCAAGGGAATGCACTGTGTCTATAAAACACAGGACGGGAAGTGTGTGTGTGTGTGAGAGCGAGAGAGAGGGAGATTTCATGGGGTGTAGTACTACTATCATCAGTCACTGCAACCAACTACCGTTAAATCACCAGGGACAGAATCACTGGGCAGAGTCAGATTGATTGTTTCTCTCTCACAAAACACTCTTTAAGGAATCACTGGCCATGTCCACTGAAACCATTTCCTCAGTTATCAGCAGTAATTAGACCAGTTCCTTCTATTCAACAGCAAATAACATCCCCACAAACAAAGTGCTTCATAATCTACACTGCTATATATAATCAATGAACACTGAACAAATACGCTGAGGTAATGCAGACTAACGGAGGACCGTAAACAGGTTCTGCTGAGAGGAAATCATTTCAAATGAGATCAGACAAAAGTAAAAAATAAAAAAAATAAATCTTTATGTAAAAAAATAAGACATTAACCAATAATCCACTGTTCTGGTATTTATGGAACCCCAGTGATTCTGATGCACTGCAGCCCAGTAGATGGCAGTAATTGTACTGGATAGTTCGTTTGGCAGCCAGAGTGACATCAGAGTGAGTGACATCATCAACAAGAAACTCGATGGAAGATGAGACCACAGTGCACGGCTGGTTGGGCAGCCAACAAGCCAAGACGAGCAGATGGCAGTGTAGAAGTTCTGCCGCGACTTCAGGCCGACCCAATCACTTCAATACAAAACATGTACATACGCGCACGAACACAGGAGCTAACGCTAGCTGCGGCTGTCATAGCAGAGAAAGTCTACAGTAGACCTGATGACATGGTTGAGAGTAGAACAGCTGTAATTACCCCGGGAGTTGATATTAATCTGGGAATGTGGGCAGATGAAAATGACACCAGCCGACACACAGCTGAAGAGAAATAGTTCATTTGTAACAAGGTCTATTCATTGATTTAGTTGCCAACTAAACTAAACTAATTCAAATAAAAAACTGTTCATTCATCCAAAAGCCTCATATTAATTAGGTTTAAAAAAAAAAAAAAAAAAAAAAAAAACACTTCATTGGTAAAGGGAGGTGGATAGATGTCTGACCTCCAGATTGGGATTAAATGCTGCATTTTGGTTGGTTTACTATGGCATAAAAAAAACAAGGAGACAGGAACGATGTGAGAAAGTAGAAGATAGAACAGCAATGTGAACGTACCTGAAGTAAAGGACATGAACCATTCTCTCCAAAGGTCTATTATCAAGATATGTTAACAATGCTAAAGAAACATCTAACGAGATTAGGTCCTTGAATGTTGTTTCATCACTTGGTTTAATCCAGTGGGTTTTTTTTTTTCAAACCTATGGCAGTCTATTGTGTCTATTGCACCAAATCCATAAAGAAACGAAATTTACAAAAGATTCAACCTGCCGATAAAACATGCTTTAAATAAAAGAGTAAAAAATCCGATCTCCACATTCTGCTCAGAGCTTCTGTGAACTCTGCTTGAACTGTTCATGCAGCATTCTCTGTGATGTAGAATAACATCATTTCTTAACAATGTCTTTTTACTGCCGTGAAGCCGGTTTGAATGATACTGGAAGGAGTGAAAACGTCAAAGTTCCCACGTCTCTGGTTGACGTAAACCTGACTCTGTTCATGCTACAAGTTATTTATCATTTCTGAGCAGGCAGCACAGTGGGAGCTTTATGCTGTGTACACAGAAGAAACGCAATAATCAGAAGCTGCGCTCATGGGAGGACACTGGGGCTGACTGGGTGATGAGGGCTGCACATTTTGAACATGGCACAACCAGAGCACTGCTTCATTATTAGTCATATCCAGTCTATAATTAGGCCCCTCGGTGGCCCCTGGTTGGTTGGTTGGTTGGTTTAGAAGCCCTTTTTATTGTTTTTTCCACCGCCTGCTGAGTGGTTCTCTACTCTAACCACCTGCAGCCGACTGCTTCCTTCCTACGATAGGATCATAATTACAGCTGTGTGAACTCTCTTCACAGGGACTGTGCGTATAAGTGACGGTTCCTTTAAGATCCGCTCGGCATCAGAAAAGAAGGAAAGAGCTCCACTAAAGTGTTGGAAATAAGGTGGAAATCTCCTGGAAATACACAAAATAAAATGTGCAGTTTTTAGATAATTCTCTTTAGGAACATAAACAGTCATAACTAAAGAGAGAATCTAAAGCAAGCCCAGATCAAACACGAGTCATATCCAAGAACGCTACGTCTTCAGACCAAAACAAATAAACACATTGAGACAACTGACTTACAGAACACATCTCCACCAAAACCCTCATTAAAACAACTGTAATAGTTTAAAGCCTGATTAAAATCAGTCGTTTCACCTCAGATCTGTTTCACCAAGCCTAGCTCTAATCTTCTACAGCATCAGATGAGTCCACGCTGTTAATCCGACACTTCCTTCAGGAGGACACGCTGCAGGTGACATATTAGCACAACAAGAAGCAATATTTCAACCCTAAGATCTGAAGCATGGAGCCTTAAGGTTTGCCCCTACGAGAGAGGAGGGAATCAATACACGAGCCTGAAGAAAAGCCATAAAACCTCTGTCAGAGACCACTGAGCCAAACAACCACGGGCTGCGGTGGAAAAGGTACTCAAACCTGGGGAGGGGGCGACCTGTAGGGGAGGGGGCGACCTGTAGGGGAGAGGACACATGTGGACCAGATTTATGTTCTATTCCCTAATCCTTATCTGGGCTGTAAAAGTGGGGCAGTAGCTGGAGCCAAATTAAGACAGTTGTCCAATCCATTACAGAGCCACATATTGGGATAAACAACCATTCAAACACACACGCACACATATGGTTAACTGGGGCAGGGGCTCTGGAATTGAACCCACAACCCCGTGAGTAAGATAACTGCTCCTCCTGATCCACAGCCAAACATAATACAAGAAGTTTGTATCAAACCAGATAACAGATGACCTTCTTGCTGTAAGCTATAACACTGCTCCACTGCGTGGCCGTCTAAGGCATTTCATTTGTAATTTTTCAGAAATAATTTAAAGTTTTTTGTGTCAAGTGAGAAAAAAATATTTCGCCTCAATTCAGGATCTCATAAAAAAAGCACCAGACGATTTAGTTCAGTGATCGCCTGAGTGTCTTTTTTTTTCTTTGACTGAAGGCTATGACATTCAGAAAGGCAGCGTGAGCATAAAGGAGAAAACATAAGCATCTGTGAGCTGCTGGCCTTTTATTATGAAGAGACTGGGAATGAAAACACGCAACAGAGAACCAGCGTTGTCCAGTTCTACTAAAGTGACAATTGTGTATACAGTATATAGAGTATATATTTATGTATGTGTGTATAAATATATATATAATATAAAATACTTTTTTAATTTAAAAATGTTTTATGTCTTTATGTTTTATGTTTATGTTTAACCTTCAGCCAAGAAAATTAGTTTCGTTTTGTGTGTTTTCTTCTTGCTTTAATTTGAGTTTCACAGTCCGTCTATTGCACACACCCTCCAATGACAACGCCACCATCTGTGATGAAGTGGGTTTTTTGTACTAATGCACCAGCACTGCACGTCTGTGAGAATATCGTGGAGGGAAAGTGAATTAAAATGCCCCAGAGTGTTTACCACAAACGTACACAGGCACTGGAAAACGAGGCACTTTTTTTGTTTTGTTTTGTTTTTTGCACCGTTATGAGACTGTTTGTACTCAGATGAGTTGATGAACATTCAGCAGTTTAGGCAGCCAAGGTTTTTAATGTAGCAGTGGGGAATAAAAAACACATCAAACAGCAGCAGAATATATTAGTCTGGAAACAGAGGCTCTACTTCCAACACTTTCCTCACATTACATGCATGTGATGTGAGTAGTAATGAGTGAATACAGCCTTCAATAACTTACATCTAGATCCAGCAGTGGTGGTGAAGTATTTACCGTGGTGATGGAGAGCTTCTTTGTGTGCGTCTCCTTTTTGTATCTGTTTTGTTTGTTTTTTCTTCGACTGCTTGTCATTACTCTTTATAGTCAACCTTGTGTGTTTTTTTTTTAATGGTTCCGTTGGTTTGTTGAGGAGAGATGGGATTATACATTGGACGGATGTTAGAGACGGAGGAGTTGCCAGGCAAGAGGAGAAGAGGGAGGGATTGGTGGATGTAGCAAAAGAGGACGTGGAGAAGAAAAGAAAAATGAAAATGCAAAAATACAAAAATAAATCATAGAAATTTAATCCAATGTTAATACAGCAAACAAGGACAAATGTGACTAAAGAGCGCCGATGTTTAAAAACAATCCTTCAAAGAAATAAAAATCGATCAGGACTCAAATCTTTCAACCCTGGCAGAGGTTTATACAATGAACGAGGAGATGAGCAGCTACACTCAACCTTCCATGACATAAATAACCAATGTCCCAGTGCTGAGGTGGAAACCCATTTGTCATTCTAAGTTTCAGATGATTTGATTACTCAGCCGCTGCTGCGGAATCTCAGAGTAGAAGGGAATGAGGAGCGTTAAGCCTCCACGGCACGAGGATGATCAGAGTGGGAGGAACATCTGCCGTCGGAAATATGAGAGAAA